TATATGGTCTTTTTTTCTCTTGTGTCTTCCAGAGCAGTTTAATTGGGATGATTATCTGAAAGAGACTGAATCAGTAGCTGCCCCTCTACATTGTTTCAGACAGGTATGCCAGATACTATTTTGCAAGTGTGTGTGTATGGATGAATGTTACAGGATGATCCCAGCACAAGTTTTGTGTTTAGACTGCTTGCAGACTCTCCATTTGACTTCTTTTGATCTCTTGTTATCAGTAGCTTACAGTTCTGGCAGATACTAGCTATAAGATTTTCATTCTTGGTTTCTGCCTCAAGCCAAACTTTGAGAGTTTCATTAAAATTGTATCTTTGGATTCTGTTTTCCTTTTAAAAAGTCTGGTTATTGAAAACAGATACTCTTGTCAGAGTTCAAAAATATTTTCCACCTTTTTCAGTAATCTTAGAGGTACCATGATTTTTTTGAGAATTAAAAATGTGACTGATTGTCAGAGGAGCCTTTCTGCTGCCCCATTTCTGAAAGGTGCCTTTCAGTTCTGTGTAGCTACAAGATGTGTGTGTAGTAGAGTTTAGGCACCACTTCTTTCCTTGGTCTTTCAAGTATGTTTAATTTTGTCTCTTTCTGAGCAGAGTACTTATTACTAAGGAGTAACAGATACTGAGGTAAAAAAAAAATCAAGGGGAATATATGGGGATACAAAGGAAATACTGTATTTATAATGAAGGGTGTTTAATGTGCTCTTTTATATCTTATGCTGTGCCCTACGAATTTGATTCCTTCCCACCTGATGGTTTGGTATGTATATGCAGATGCAGTTTAAATCTACCATCTTGTGTGAACTAATGACCTCCAGTTATTTAGCCCTCTGGAGACTGAGTCTATCTCTGCTGGCATCTTTTTCTCTGCAGAGGGAGCCAGGGCTGGTGTTTTCCCAAGATGAGGTGTATCTTGTGTGCATAAAGTTAAATAGGATGTGTTTTGTTTGTTCAGGTTGATAGAAGTGTAATAGGTGTGACAAGTAGTGTGTGTATTGTATCTTCTAGGGTGTGTTGGTAGTCTGATTGTACTGTGAATTATGCAGTGGGGGATGATACAGGCCTCCAGTGGGGACCAAATAAAAAGCAACATGAATGGAATAGTCTGAGAGGAGAGGATCCATCACTCAGTGAATCTGAAGTAGTTGCAGGAATGGAGAATAGAAACACAGATCGTTCCTCATGCTAGATCTTGAATCTCAGCTTGCTCTTTGCAGATGAGGATAAAGGGCAAAGAGCTCCTTGCAATCTGCTTTCATTGAGAGATGGCTAAAAACAGCCATGTCCATACCACCATGACCAAAGTGTATGCTCCCATAGGATATAGCTACTGCAGAAAGCTGCTCAGAAGCCTTTCTGTGTGTCCTTTCTTGCATCTTTGTCTTCCCTACTAATACTCAAGAAGTCCAAACTGAACAACCAAATAACACCTTAAACAGAGATGCAAACATGTGTTGACTGAGATAAATCCAAGTGACCTAGATTGCTTAAGGAGTGTGTGGGTTGGAAAAAAAGAGCTTTATGTGCATAGCAAATTTCAAATCAATTTGCACATGCAGGATTTCAGTGCTTCTGAGAGTCTACCTTTAAGTGGAAAGTGATATGCAATGTTGATTAGTGCAGAGCTAGATCCCCTTGATACACAATGTTTGCAGATTTTAGGACCAAAAATGCTTGTGCTTTGTGTAGAACTAATTTGTCTGTTACTGGGTTACACGTGAATTGTATGTGTCATTATCACTCTCTGTAAAGCAAAGAAATATACTGCTGTGGCCAGCCAGAAAATAAATAGCAGAGAGAAACTTAATTTGATGATTATATCCAGAATTTGGGACCTGTGGGAATTGTAAAAGTTTAAATTTTGTAGTAATTAAAAATGACCTGGGGAACAATAAATTAAAGCCTCTACCATAAATTAAGACACAGGCACAGACAGCTAATGGAAATTGATTAAAGTATTTATCTTAATTTAGAAGGTATTTTATCTGTTGCTTTAAGTTGTTTTTAATTGCTGCTTAAAATTTCAATGCATTTCACATCGCTTTCTCTCACCCTGAAACTTTTTTTCCATCAGCTCAGTCCCTTGTGGTTTGACAGAACTTAAAACAAGGCTGTTTCTGAGTGGGGGTTAGTTATTTCTCTGTAAGGACAAACTGGCATGGAGGAGTTACCTTTTTAGTAGAATGCCTTGAGTTGTTGCTATTTAAACAAGCTCACCTTTTCCATAAACAAGTAAACAAACTCTCCAGTTTGTCAATTTCTGTTGCTTTTCCTTGTTGTAGAAAATAAAAGCTTGACAAGCAATATCCTGAAATTGAATTGCCTTGTAAATTTAATATGCTCAGGCTCCTGGTTCAGACAGCCTGCTGTCTGAATGCAGCATCGGCAGATGCCACACACAGCATTCACTCAGTGTTGCTCACCTCTTTGTTTTTTGGGCTCAGGCTCCTCCAGGGCTCCTGCTGTCGATCTAAAGTGTGTTGTATATAGGGCACCTGCACAATGTAGCAAGTACAGCAAGATGTATTTCAAACATTTAGATGTGGTGGAGAAAAAATGTCACTAACACTTGTAGCAGTAGCAAAGACATCTGCTTACTATGGGATCCCCACCTGACCTGGTTAAGGCAGGGAGGAGAAGGGAACATAAGAATCTTGTGAGTGTGAATGTCTACAGTTTTGGGTGTTCTAACCTGCCTCCTTGTCATGGTTTAACCTCACAGAGCCACTCACTCCCCCACCAGCATCATTGGGGAGAGAATCAGAAGGGTAAAAGCTGGAAAACTCCTGGGTTGACGTGAAGACAGTTCAATAGGGAAAGCAAAAACCACACACACAAGTAAAGTAAAACAAGGAACTAATTCACTGCTTCTCACAGCCAGGTGTTGTTCAGCCATCTCCAGGAGAGCAGGGCCCCATCACGGGTAATGGTTCCTTGGGAAGACAAATGCCATCACTCCAGACATCCCCGTTCCTTCTTTCTCCCACTTTATATCTGAGCATGATGTCCTGTGGCATGGAATGTCCTCTTGGGTCACCTGTCCTGTCTGTCTCTCCTCCCAATCTCCCATGCACCCCCAACTTCCTTGCCAGTGTAGCAGTATGGAAAGCAGCAAAGGCCTTGGCTCTGTAAGCACTTCTCAGCAAGAACAAAAACATCTCCGTATTATTAACCCTGTGTTCAGCACAAATCCAAAACACAGCCCCATATTAGCCACCAGACATCCCCTTCTTTCTCCCACTTTATATCTGAGCATGATGTCCTGTGGCATGGAATGTCCTCTTGGGTCACCTGTCCTGTCTGTCTCTCCTCCCAATCTCCCATGCACCCCCAACTTCCTTGCCAGTGTAGCAGTATGGAAAGCAGCAAAGGCCTTGGCTCTGTAAGCACTTCTCAGCAAGAACAAAAACATCTCCGTATTATTAACCCTGTGTTCAGCACAAATCCAAAACACAGCCCCATATTAGCCACTGTAAGTCCTCTTGGGTCACCTGTCCTGTCTGTCTCTCCTCCCAATCTCCCATGCACCCCCAACTTCCTTGCCAGTGTAGCAGTATGGAAAGCAGCAAAGGCCTTGGCTCTGTAAGCACTTCTCAGCAAGAACAAAAACATCTCCGTATTATTAACCCTGTGTTCAGCACAAATCCAAAACACAGCCCCATATTAGCCACTGTAAAGAAAATGAACTCTACCCCAGCCAAAATCATAGACTCCTGTATGAGAAGTCAGATTGTGTTAGTCTGTATAGGATAGCTACTGGGTTTAAATTTCATGGGCAAGGCTGCTTGCAGTTTATAGTGTCTGTATTCAAAACCAGCTTTGTACTGAAGAGATGAAGAGCTTCCAGGGTGATAGGAGAATAGTCATTATCTCCTAAGGGAAACTTGAGTGCTTGACTTATTTACATTATCAAAAGGGTACTCCGGAAGGGATGGTTGTGGATTTTGTTGTTATTTGCAAAAGTACAGAAAGAATTTAAGTTAAATGATACTGTTGCCAAAAATTTCCATGCATAAATTTAGGCTGGAAATGAGGAGACATCTCAAGAGAATAGTGAGAGGCATTCAATCCCAGTAGGTGTTATTACAAAGTTTTGCACATCACCAGGTGATGGTTTTGCCTGCAGTACCACAGAAGGCAGGTAATCAGACTGCACCCCAGTCAGTCTCTGCCGGCAGTAGGTTGATACATAAGTAAAAAATGTTCTTTTTTGTTCATCTTTAGCTTGTGACAAAAAGTTCTCCGCAAAGACCGAGTTGCATTTGTCACATTTCTTTTCCCTGTGCTAATTAAATTGGCATTTCATTGTATGTTTGTGATTACATTCAGTTCTCTTTGAATAAGCACAAGCTGCAGTTTTTGTCTTAGCATAGAAGTTTTATATGACTTTAGGACTGTCTGTTTTCTGTCTGTAAAATGTTAACATTAACTCCTTTTTCTGTCTTATTTCTTTGTATTGTAAGCTTTTTTTTTAATGCAGAAACTCTTACCTTAAGCTTTTGCAGTGCCTAGGCAGTAGGCTCCAAATTTTGTTTAGATTTTCAAAATACTACTACAGTAAGGATCACTGTTTGATTTGAATTGAAAGCTAATAAACCTTCTGAGTCGAGTTTTTTTGTTGGTGTGTCTGTTGGTTTGTGTTTTGGTTTTTGGAGTTTTTTTGAGTTAAATGTCATGTTTCCTGATGTCCTTGATTTCCATTCACTTCAAGTATTAATCCCTGCTCTCCATCTTTATGTTTGTATCCTCATCAGAATTCCCTTGTTATCCTTGTTAGTGTGCTTATCTTTTTAAAATATCAATCATGCTTATGTAGTAGGAACATCACGTATCTGAAATGGGAGCTGTTGGGAGGTTGTCCAGCTGCCTTTTCTGCCTTGCTGCTGAACACTCAAAAGTTCAAAAGCTTCTTTGTGTTTATAATTGACATGATATGTTTGGATGGATGAAAGCTGTGTATTGAACTGGCTGGTAAATTTAGCAATACTAATAACAATAAGGAAAAGTCTTTTACTTTTTATTGTAGTCTAGGATTCCACCTACAAATGATTTCAAAGTTGGTATGAAACTGGAAGCCCACGATCCGCGCAATGTGACCTCGGTTTGCATCGCTACAGTCATCGGAATCACTGGGGCCAGGCTGCGGCTGCGGCTGGATGGAAGTGACAACAAGAATGATTTTTGGAGGCTTGTGGATTCGTCTGACATACAGCCCATTGGGACCTGTGAAAAGAAAGGGGGAATGCTGCAGCCCCCACTTGGTAAGAAACAAAGCTGCTGAATGAATGTGTGTGAAATATTGCTGTCATGAAGTCGAGTTTACCTCGGATGGGTATGCTTTTTCCTAGTAGCCTCTCAAAAAACTTGTTAGCCCAGTTTGTTAACAGCTTCCAGTTCTTCTGTTTGAAAGATGGAGTGAAAAGTATCATTTCACTGCAGTATGAAACTTGATTTGCTTGTAGAGAGACAGACACAGGAGCCATTGACATAAGCATTAAGACTTGACATCGGTTATAATGTTAGATTTTTGTGCTGTTATGCTGCTTCAGAAACACAAGAAAAGCGATGCAAGCAGGGTGCAAGTCTGGAAAAATATTGTTTAGGATATATAACAGTTCAGCAGTGATCATCAGGAGAAAGGTTGATGTCTTCTCCTCAGGTACTGTTTCTTACTCCTGTTTGGTCAGGCTGTTTGTAATGCAGCAGCTAACAAGCAGCTGTTTCCCTGCACCAAGGCATGTCAGTTCACCTGCCCTCAGAACAATTGCTGGTTATTCAGAAAAGAATGTGAGTGCCATTATTTTGTCCCTCCTGCCCTAGATTTATCTAGAGATAGGCTGGATTCCAGCAAGCAAACATTCTGGCATACCTAGATAAATTTTTGAAAAAGCCTTTTTGGCAGTTTTACAGCATCCTGTTCCTGGGCAAAGCTGGGAGCTAATTGGGTGTATAATTACCTCCTGTTAGACATTTAAGCAACTGATTTTTTTTTTTTCTGAGTAGTAGGGAACCTTCTGGATACTAATGTTCTTGCTTCTATCATAATAACTAGCTAAAATAGTCCCTCCCACCTGATTTTTACATGGATTTAATTATGCATGTTACATAAGGGTTTTGAGAAAGTGATTGTTGTAGCAAAAGGTTCCTGTTCCAGCCTCTGTTTTCCATAGGTAACATTTTTGTTGTTGAGAGCTGAATGTTCTCAACAAATTAAATTGCAGATAGCGTTTTCTCTGGCTTTACCAGGACAACTTAAAGGGCAAATGAAGTTAATTGGAACTGTAGTTTAGTTGTCATTCCTCTGTCTTGCTTTTCATTCCTCTGTCTTGCTTTTCTGGGCTAGCTAGTTGGGAATATTGTGTTTCAGTAACCACACGTGTTGAGGTTGTATAAAGACTCCGGTATGAAACCAGGCCTGGCAGTTAGCTCAGCAGTCCTCAAATTATGACACCATTTATCAGATACAAGCTTTGCATTGATTTAGGTGTTGCATAGGTGGTTCCAACTTGAAAACTGTTTATTCAACTAAAGAAAGCTTAGAGCTACTGGCTAAGGAACCATTGCAGCATATAATCCAATTTTAGATGACTAAGTGATTTAACTGATAAAGAATTGCAGATATGTTCCACCTTCCTAGTTACAGTTTTTTTAAGAGAATTGTTGAGGCTCAGTTAAGAGGGAACTCGCCAGTTCCTGGCAGATTCTGGTACTATTTGCTTTGTGGAAAAAATTCCAATTTGCTCTATTATGTCTGTTTTTCTGTAGAACTGTACCAGACATATAACTGCTAAAGACACAGAAAAAAATGTCCACTATGTCTGTTATCTTATTCATTACTTTAAAACACTCATTTGGAACGTAAAGAAAGCAAAAGCATATTTGGTTTGCTTTGTTTTCTCTTTTAACTGGAAATTGGTTGATTGTGAGGAAAGATTATCTGGAATGAGAATGTTTTCAGCCAAACCTTTGTTCTGCTTGAATAAGGTGGTTCATCTAAACAAATTTGACTGAAGTTTGTGCTTTTTATTCACTTGTTAATGAAGAATAATAAAGTAGACGGATCTTCCAGTTTGTTTTCCAGTATGATACATGCATGTCTTAAAATAATTGTATTTTTTTCAGTCTAAAGTATTTGGATTTTATGGCTATTTATGTATTTATTTTAATGGGCGAGGGCAAAGAAGCCAATTGTTCTTTTTTTGTCTGTTGTCTGATGAAAGAATGATGAGATTCTTGAAAATAAAAAGGTGTCTCTTCAATAAAAGAGCTGGAACAGAGGATGTTGCTTTAGGATAAGAGTAAAAAAGCAGCCCTGAAAAGAAAGCTAGGTGCTTGTGCTGGGGAAGTGCCATTGGACCAGGGACTGTGTGGGACAATCTTGTGGTCTCCTGCACTAGAACTTTCATGTTGTTGAATCCTAGGAGTTTACCTGTACTGTCCCAAATTATGATGAGTGATTGTGCAGCCAGGTCACTCAGAATGGAAATGGATTGCACAGCTTTCTGCACTGACTGCAACCATGTTCATTCCTTCTTGCGTACTTTTATTTTGGCCAAGTCTGAAAAAGGGAGTGAGACATTAGTAAAACAGACTTTATATCCTTCTCCTATTGTATTTTGCAAACTCAAAATAGGGCTCTTTGTTCTTTTGTTACTCAGGGTTCCAGATGAATGCATCATCTTGGCCAATGTTTCTCTTAAGAACTCTCAATGGAGCTGAAATGGCACCTGCAGCTTTCTTTAAGAAGGTAAGAAGAAAGGCATTTCTAGTAAACAATTTTCTATCATGGCCCATGGTTAATATTTTGATGAGGATGCCAAGATATTACACTGTTGTCTGCAGCACAGTCTGCAAGACTGTTACTTAAAATGACTTTGAATTGGGTTGGCAAGGTACAGAGCTAGACAGAAAGCAATCTGCTTTTAGTCCACTGAGATGGGCATTTGTTTTCCTGAGCTGAGACTTCAGAGTGTGGTGTGTTATTTAGAAAAATTGTGTTTGCTCATTTTTTGTGTCTCATGGATTTTAGATACAATGTGTGTCATGTTTCTCAACAACACCATACTCATATGATTGTGCACAGGAGTAAATAAAATTAATGGGGAATGAGAGCCATTGGAATACAGTGGTGCTTGGAAAGGTTTGTTAAACATTTTCATTGAGCACGTATTCATCATTTAAAATGTAGTGAGAAAGTACTTGAAAAGAGCAGAAAAAGCTGTTCAGTTTTTTCAACGTGACTCTTGTGTAAGTTATTGTGAAACCTGAAAAAATACATAAAAACAACAGTAATATTAAAATGATTTGTTGATTCAATTTTTTGTTGAGGTGATAAAACCCTGCTGTCACATTGGGTGACTTCATTTTGGATACTGAGAGTGGTACTGACTGGTATGTCAGCAAATCAGACAGTTGGGTTCAGACCTGCAATCACATCACTTGCATGTTAACTTTATATGATTATAATTTTTTTTAGATAAGATTATATAAATTTTCTGAGGCATGATGAGCCGCACTTCTCTGTGCTAACCTACAGCACCTCTGAGATGGCTTTAGGTAAAAAGATTCTTGAGGCTGAGGTGGTAATTCATGTTTCATCAGATCACAGCTCCTGCTGTGGCGGCACATTTGTGCCAGTCACATTGACTTCATTTTTGTTTTCCTTTTGTCCACTTGAAATTGGTCTAAGGCCAACTGAGTTAACAGAGGCCTATAAATAATATCCAATGCTAATGAATTTTTCATGGATTGAGAGGTGAAGCTTTTGCCAGACAGTTATCAGTCCCCAGAAATATCCATTCTCTGCAAACCTCCTCTTCTTCATTAGCATGTAATAATTTCATTTTAGTGTCTTTGCTGTCTTGCTGCCTAGATACAATGTATTGGGTGCAACCTATTGCTTATGTAAATACTTCTAGCAAGGTCTTTCTGTCATGGAGAATTTTGCTAATTATCCCAGCTGTATTTGTCAGAACAAAATCTAGATTTTTGTAATACAGAAGAGCAAAGGCAAATTTGAAATACAAACAAATTTCCTTGAATGTGTGCTATAACCTTTTGAGAGTAGTGAGTATAAGTAGTAAGAATTTTGAGGAAAAGGGTTGTTTTGGGGTTTGTTTTTTTTTGTTGTTTTTGGTTAGTTGTTTGCTTTTTTCTTTTTTATGGAGCTATAGAAATACAAATATTCTACCACTGTTACTTTGTAGGAACCACCAAAACCTGTGCCAAACTGCTTTAAAGTTGGAATGAAACTTGAAGCTATAGATAGAAAGAACCCATACATGATTTGCCCAGCCACCATTGGAGATGTTAAAGGAGATGAAGTTTTTGTTACATTTGATGGCTGGAGAGGAGCATTTGACTACTGGTGCAGATGTGATTCTCGAGATATTTTCCCAGTCGGATGGTGTAGCTTGACAGGAGATGCATTACAACCACCAGGGAACAGTGGTAAGATGACTAATAGTATTGCTTAATTATTTTTCTCCTCAATTACAGCAGAATTTTAAAAACCAGCTGGCTGTATGCAGATAAGACTGAAGATTTGATTTGTGAGTAACTGACAAGGATGAAATGTCGTTGAATTTTCTTTATGTAGTTTAAAGCTAATAGGATAGTGGATGGGAAACAATTTTTGCCTGTTCATAGTAACTCTGGGAACATGTTTTATTTAATACTGTCAGGAGGACTTTTGATAATCCCTAATTTTTTTGTGCTTGTGAAGAATCTTGGACATAGACTTGATTTTCTGTTTGTTATTGATAGTTAAATGCTCTTCTTTAATGATACTCGTGTATTGGCTGCTACAGCAATATATGTTAAACTAACTGCTAAGAAAGTAAAGTAGTCTTTGCTTCTGTGATGATTGGAGGTTGAAACTATTATTTAGTGTTTCTTCCTTCATTCTCAAAGAATTCTGTCTTGAAGCTGCCTGTTCTGAATGCTTTGTCATCCTCTTGCCATTAAGGATGTTTGTAGGCAGGGTGATGGTGTCCCTTTAACTAATGGCCACTGTGCTTTATATTATACAGCTATCTGCTTTAGAGAGAAGAGAAAGAGGAATATTCCTGAATGTAATCCCTTTGCTACTCTGGAGTCTGCTTGTCATATTTTTGTGGTGTAAGGCTTTTTGTCAAACTGGTTGAGCTTTTCTATCCTCATCCCATAAAATACATCAGGAAGAGAGGTTTTTAAAGAGAGGAACCATACTTTTAATTAGTCACTTTAATATTAGTGACCAGAGTAATGTGTTCTCGGTGAGAATTTTCACAGCTGGTGTTAGGTGAGTAAGAATGAGTTGGTATCACAGAACTCTCACTGGAAGTACTAAAGAACAGAAGCAAGAAGGCAAAATATCAGTCATGTTTCCTGCCCTTTCCATCCCCTTTGTTTTTCTCAGTCTTCTGCTAGCGGATCAAGAACCGTATGGAAAATGTAGCTGAAATTAGATAAGGGTACCTCTGTATCATTGCCCTCACCTGTCTGTCTGTGGTTCCTGCCAGTGGTCATACTACCTGTAACTGAGTTTAGTCCGATTTGGCAGATTTCAGCAAGGGAACAACTAAGTGTGTAGCTGTACTGGCAGATCCGGGATGATCTGCGGGGAGAAAGGGTAAGTCAGGTGAGGATGATCTGTATTCAGTCAGATTTGCTTAGGACTTGGAATACCTACCCAGGTAGGAGACTATTGCTTGATTGTGAAAACCAAAACCACTCTAGGCATTTACATAAGCTCAAATAAGTTCTTATGGTCTTGTCAAAACTGAGAATTTTGGACAGGTGACAGAAACTGAGTGCAGAGATGTGCAGGCTGGACATTGTCATTTTTGATTCTAAAAGTGAGGCCAAAGTTAGCTGCAGTTTTACTAAAATTTTGTGTTCCTTTTTTCCCTGTTCTGAGCATAAATAATTTGTTATTTCAGTTTTGCCTTTTGTGCTTATTTTTTTATGTGCTACTTGTGCATGTTACACACACTTGTCAAATTTACATAGCTGGATGAAATAATTTGGCTCTCGGGCTATGTTTTTCACTGCTGTTTGATCACTTTTGAGCCATTAAAAAGCTGTAATGATAGTCCTTTATTAAGATTTAAATAATAGCTTCAAGAAGAGTGTAATCAAGTAATTTCAATTCAGAAAAATGATAATGTTGTCAGGATTCTTCATTAAGTAATATTAACATTGAAGAAAGTATGACAGATATATATTGTAGCGATTCACTTGAAATATTACAGTGGTATTCTGGTCTGGACTTTTTCCATACAGATTGCTCTAGTATTTGTGCATTGAATTTTTGCAATAGAAAGTGAAAATAATTGACTGAGAGTGGCTGAAATTTCAGAGTGAATATAATGAGAAGTATTCTTGATTTTTTTGTAACTACCTTCCCTGAAAGCAGTTAAATGTGTTAAATCACTAGTTAAAGGACTGGGTAAAAAATTTTAAAAACACCTCAGATTTTAGCAAAGAAGCAAAGCCAATATCCTGCAATCCAAGTGTGAAAGCAATAAAGGATCCTTTAATACCTAGGACAACCATTAGCTGCCATGAGACATATTTTGGGGTCTAATTTAGCCTTTCAAAAGAGAGATGAAATGCAGTAAGGGAGACAATATGAAAATGAAGAAAGATTTTATTTCAATTGTTTACTCTCTTAGCCTTTTAGCCTAGAGAGATGTAGGACCTCTGCCATGGGAGGTTTTTAAGAGCAATTTAAACATAGGCTTCTTGGATATGTGTGAATTTATTCAGACCAGATTACGTGCTGTATTTACTCTTTATAACTATCTTCTGTAACTGTCATTGGTATTAGGCAGACAAGGTCATGAACTAAGACACAGTTACAGAAGATAATACAGAGAAGGTAGGTGAAAAGTTGTTTTGGACCAACTGTTGATAGCACTGAGGCCTTAATCTTTGTGTTTTTTCTTCAGTTCTTATTGGAGGATGTGACTTAAGTGGACCTGGCTGAATGTCAGGGTGTGCCTACAGTGGTATGAAATGTGGCATTCAATAGTTATAGTAGTAGGAGCTGTGCTTAGCTAATACTGTGGTTTGTTTCACTACAAATATCTCCCATAGTGGTAATTTGTTATGGTTTGACTTCAGTGCTTGATGTTGACTTCCCCTACTGCTCCAAGGTTAGTATTTTAAGCATGCAGTAGATTGTTTTCTCTGTGTCTCTGTGTCATTTAAGTGCTTGTAGAGATGACTTGTCCTACATATACATTGTTGTGAACTATAGCTGGTGAAAGGATTTGAGATGATAATGTCTGTACTGGACCAGTCTGAAAGACCATCTGCTCTACCTGGCTTGCTTTGGCTGTGGCTGAAAGCAAGTATCTGAAGAAAAGCATGAACAGTAGAAGTATTCCTAGTATCTGTCCATCTACAACCCAGCACCTTCCAAGCCCAGAATAATGCTTTTCTGCTGAGTACCTCCTTGAGGAACTTGATCTAAATCTGTTCAATTATATTGGAGCCATCTGAACTTTTAGCACCTTCAGCATCCTGTAGTGAGGAGTTCTCTATTTGAGTATATATTATGTGGAAAAGGAGATAGTTTTTCTTGCTGGTAGTATAATTTGTTATCCTTGGTTTCTTGTACTGAAATAGCTTCTTCTACTTCCAGTACAGGTATAGGAAGATTTTGTTGGTTTTGTTCTCAGATCAGTTTTATTGCTATGATCACTTTTGTTCTTCTGTACTGTCTTCTTTTCAGCTATGGCATTTTTGAGCCACTGGAACCAGAAGTGCACAAAGTATTGAAACTCAGTTGCATAGTGGTGACTTCTATTATGTTTTTTGTTCCATAATAATTCATGAATTGGTATTTGAGGTTTTTGGACTACTACTGAGTATTGAACTGATGTGATATGCTTCCTTGGAATGAGTATGATGCAAAAACCATTCAGTCTTGTTGCTTTAGTATTGCCTTCTGCATTTGCTCATTCTGAAATCATTTATTGGGTCCATAAAACTTCTGCTTTTGGTATGCCTTAAGAAGGCTTTTAAAGGTAGATTATTTTTTTTTGTTCACTGTTTTTCTAGGCTAAATGTATAATGCCTTTCTATTTAACCACAATAGATTGTAATTTTTACTTTGCTCAGTTGGATAATAAAAAGCTATTACTATGCCTAATAATATTCTTGTATTGCACTGTAGCTAGTTGTGTCTGAGACTTATGATTGAAGTAGACAGTAGATGACTGGAGATTGTCAGAATGGTTTCTGTTTGCTGTTTCTGTATAAATTCATTTTACTGTTTAGTTATTACATGTAAATGGCAGTTACTTAGGCAACCCACTTTTTTATTTATAATAGAAGTAAAACCTTTTCCATAAAAGAGAGAAGACAAAAGAACAACTGGGGACAAGCCATGTGGGAAATGATAAGTAGTTTCACCTGCAAAGATTGGTTTCAGTGTAAAGGTGTATCTATCATTTAGATGTGAACAGCATCTGGAGAGGGATCAGTTTCTGTATATCCCTGATCCCCACAGCCTTATGAAGCTGAATCTTTAAAGGATAAAGGTGATGCAAGAACTCATAAAGGAGGAACTGCTCTCCATGCTCTACAGGAGAGAATTCGGGAGACCAAAGGAAGATGATGTAGTAATTAAAAAAACAAAAAGGCACGTGATACACTGTAGCTTTTATCCTTAGTCATCTGCCTTCTTTCCCTCTCTGTCTCCCCCTCTTCCACATCCTGTGTCCCCTCATTGCTTTTCTCCCAATTCAGTGCATTTATTGTCAGTGAGAGCAATCTTCTTTCATTACGCTAATCAGCTGTGATGCTAAAGGTCTCTTTCAAATGCTGTTTGCAGCAATAAGAGTAGTACAGGCTCAAGGAGAGATTTAAAATGTCATTTTTGTCCACTATAAGATTTCTTAGTTTAGTTTTATTTTACTTTTTTTGGTGTTCTTGATGCTTACTTTGTGCAGATTTCACCAAGCTAGGTACTGGAGATGGTCTTCTCTGGTACTGATAATGAAATTAAGTGAAAATAGCCATGCTGTATTTTCAGCTGAGTGGTACACAAATTTGCAACATCAGTATAAACTTAGTAGTGCTCTGCTTAGAGTAGCCAAAAACAATCAGATAAGCATAGTAACTAACTTTCCTTAAAGAAAAATAAAGGTGAAATGGTACAATTTCATAGAAGTTTTTTTTTCTGTCAGTGAAGCCACTTCTCTTCATGAGCAAGTCACAGTAGTTAAATCAGGCACATTCAGTAAGCAGATTTGTGCTGTCTTCAGAGCTGTACATGAAAAACTCCTCAGTGCTTCAGGCTAAAATCTGATTTGCCACATTCTCTCACATGTTAAGCTTTTTTTATTTGGTATTAATGTTTCTTGACATCTTGCAACAAGGCCTGGATAGTGCTGCCACAGGGCAGTAATCACTTAAGGAAATGTAAAGGTTTTGCCTTTCCCAAAGCTGTGACCTTA